AGAATGACAGTTCAGTTGTACCGCCTGCATGAAAGATAACAGCAAACTCCAACTTTTGAGCAGGTGCAAATCTGTCAACAGCCAGCATCATTTGGCAAGGAGCTGGGATACATCAACATAATTACTTTGTCACTCATGTCACCATCATCCTAAGGAGCAGGCATAGGAGTGGGAGCAGTGGTAGCGGCGGCAGCAGCAGCAGCAGCAGCAGCAGCAGCAGCACTCCCTCCGCCATCCATCATTGAATCAAGCCACCCTCCCATTGCCCCTGCCGCTACGCGAAAACATGTCATGACATACAGGAGTCTACACTTGCGTGTCACCATCTGAAAGTCCGACTACCAGCCACCGATATCAGAACTAGCAAGAACCCCAGAGATGCAGTTCTTGCAAGTTGTCCTGATCACGCCTGCTGATTTTCTGCAGGATTCTGCAGGTTGTAGGTCGTAATTGGTAGGTGCAAAGGCAACCACCCTTCCACACTGAAACCTCCGGTCCCACCAAGTGTCTAGATCCTACAAAGATCCAAAGCTGGACCAAGCCGCGTGGTCTTTCAGCAGCGTCAGGGCTCCGGTGACTTGCTCCGGGCTTCCATGCAGTTGCTGCTGCAGATCCTAAGGATGCTGGTGTTACCCGTGGAAAGGGGGCTTGGGTCGGTGAGGGCTTGGGAGGTAGGGACTCAGGCTTAGAACGTGGGACTGGGGGCTTGGGGCTAAGGAGCATTGAAGATGTGCATGACGCACAGAAAGGTGACGAGCATAAAGAATTTCGTAGAGATGAAGCAGGGAGTACATTTAGTGGGTTAGTCCGGCTTGCAAGGAAAACATACCACTGGGACCCTCTCAACAGAACTGCAATCACGATCAGACGCCAACCAACAAGTCAAACGCCTCGTTGTTCGTGCACATAAATATCTTTGTTTACCCGCTACAAGGCTGCCTTTTGTTGAATCAGAGGCAAGGGCGGGGTAACAAAAACATAAACGTTTTTCATCCTGAACCCTACACCCTTCAACCCAAAGCAACCCAAAAGGAATTTACATGAGAAGTTTTGGGAGAGGTAGAAATGTGGCATCGAAGAAATCGGAGTGATAACGCCAGTCGGAAGGTTCCTTACATCCAAGCCAGCCCGCTTACAACAGCAGCCATGATCTTCTGTTGAACGCGACAGTTCTGTATGTGTGAGGATTGGGGTGATCTATGAAAGGCCGGGGTTTGCAAGTCAATTTGGAGGCTTGCTTAAAGCTGGCAGTTCTAGGGTGTCTAGTCTCGGTGTGGAGGCTGCTACTCAGCCGAGTTCCTCAACAATTGTCATAGGGCTGGAGGGGGATGCTGCTTCTTCATTGCAGCCCAGCATCTTCGTATGCAGCAGAGTCAAAGATTTCCGTCACAGGATTCCTGGGCAAACATCTGAGTTTCCTGTCTGACCTACGCCATCTCCCGTGAGGACTCCATGAACATAGTGCCTAGGAGGCCTTCTTACAGGTAGCTTCGAACTCGAGTTCTCATAGTAGACACCACATTCTTTGAAATCCCCATACTGACCCTGACAAAGATGCGGGGTTGTAGCAGGACACCAACTGCTCGAAAAGAAAAAATCCTAAACCCAGAACCCTAAACCCTGAACCCTAAAGTCTTGAAATTCCTGGCTCCAGGCTGTCAAGACCTCCCACCATGAAGTGCTGTAGGGTGTGGGGCTTAATTAGGGCTTAGGGTCTCCACTACTTTGCTTAAGAGGATCTCGCAAGACTGTAGCGATGTCTGAAACCTGTGTCGTAGGCGGTAGATCTTCAAGACATGCGCAGCTTCACCTGAAAAGCCGACAGCCTGAACCAAAGGCCTAAAACATATTGCTTACCCTGAGGGTCCAAGGACCCAAAGAATAGGGTTTTAGGGCCCTTACTAGCATAGTATCTGGGCCCTAAAACCCTATTATTTGGGTCCTTGGACCCTTAGGGTTACAGATACCCTCCAGACAATCCGCGCAAAACCCTTCCAGCGAGGGACCCCAAACACCCTACACCCCGGCTAACCTTCGATCCCTAAACCAGAAGTCCATGACTCTCAGCCACCAACATGTCCCCCATGTTGAAAGGCATGTAGTCCTTGTAGAGCACCAGCAGTTAGCTTGAGGGCGTAAGCCCCAGGGCCTATAATCCACACAAGTTCAAACACCAAAGCCCAAAGCATGCAACCCCCAACCTACGCAAGTTGCCCCATACTAAGCCAAAACCCTGAAATGTCTGTAGATCCTTTCCCCAAACCTTTGACCCAGTGGCCAGACACGGCCGACTGCAACCGGACCTGTGGAAAGGCTGGGGAGACTTCAAAGAATTGATGACTGGAAAGGGGTCTAGGTTTTAGGGGTTTGGGCTAGAGGGGTGTCGGGCGTAGGGCACATGTAGAAGGTCGTGAAAGAAATATGGCGCCGCCTGTTTGAGTCTTCCAGATGATGTTATCGAACAGCCCCTCATGCAGGGAATAGACAAGGATAGTGCTCAGGAGTAAGCAGGAACTAGCTACTGTTGGTAGAAGTCTTATACTTCAGTGCTTCAACGCTCGGTAAGTAGCTTTGGGAACCTATCCCCAACTTCCAAGACCCACTCAGAGTGTTCCCAACAAGGCTTCAAGTGCCCTTTCGACGATCAGGCTGAGACTCCCTCCTCTGGTTGCATTACTCCAGATCCATTCTGAAGCCCGCATGAAGGCATGAAGAGGGGAGACCGTGTGAACCAAGAGTCTACACGTCAGGTTACAAGGTTTGCAGGTCAAGATGCAGGGCTCCGTTAACTTCAGCTACTTTCCGGAGGTCTTCCAAAGGAATGAGGCCCATTATCCCACAGTGTTGTACCGATGTGGACTCTTGGACCCCTATGCCGTAGGCACACTATTGACTAAAGGCTCGGTGAACCCAAAAGAAAGCCTCAAGCTGTTGATCGACTGCTATTCCGGGCATTTGGCGGATCAAAACAATCAAGTTCCACGCAAGCTTAGCAGAGGGTTAGCAGTTAACACCCTACAGACACCTCAGGTATCCTCAGGTCATCTGAATGTGTAAGCCCTCAGCTTATAAAGACCCACAAACCTTTCTTTCTACCTTTCTCAGAATGCCTGCGCAACTTCTACAACAAGATTCGCTGATTATCTGGACTGTTACGAGGGTTGAAGCCAAAACAACATCGTTTTCAGCTACACGCCTCTAACCCTTAAGGCCAGATGCCCGTCCCTGCTACCTTCACCCTAAACCTTAGGTTTTAGGGTTTAGGCAGGGTCTGGAGAAGAAAATTCCGTTGCTGTGCCATAGGCCCGTCAGCCGGAAAAAAACCTAAACCCCTACGCTGGGAGGTTCATGGTGACCCTAACGTCATTCTGACTGGAACATAAGCCAGTTAGATCCTTGTTAGGAACTTAAGGGCCCATGCGGCTGATAGTTGGGTTGCAAATACCTTGAACCTCGAAGTGAACCGGGTCCCCGGACCGGTGCCGGCCCATGGCTTGGCATTTTGACCATTGGCCATGGCCTGAGCGGCTTTGATGTGAATCCACACATGAAGCGTTCTTCATGCTGCCCTTTCTCGGGAGGGCTCAAGAAACAAATGAGCCCTCCGAATTTTGCGGATTGACAAGAGGATGCTAACTTTGCGAAATCTCCATCTACTCGCACAAAGGCCGGGATCAGGGGCCTACGGCCACGCCATCATCCTGAAACGCGGGATTGCGTGGGATTCAAATTTCAAATAGACCCCAACATACCATGTTCCTTGTTGTAGGCACCACTGCAGAAGGTTCCAAAGTGTGGCCTCTCTCAATGCTTCTAATGTCATGAGGCTTCTGCAGGCGACCCTGCTGGCGGCAAACTGACCTACATGCCTTTACATACTCCGAACCCTACTCAAACCTTTCCGCCCAATGGCCTTCAGGAATTCCAGACTTCCTGAGCTTGATTTTGTGGCCCATTCCCTACTCTCACCAGCGCTCCTTGGGGCTTCTTTGGCCTTTGCCAAGGGCATCAGGGGAGGAGATTCTATTCAAACCCATGATACAGCAATGCGCACGACCACACACCCCCTCCCGAGGGCAGAAACCCTCGGCCGACAAACCCTGGAGGCATTAATGGAACATGGTTTGTACGAGTTAGGCCAGCCACAATATGTACCCTGTTTCCTGCACATTCGATCAACTCCATCGGTATAATTCAGCTCAAGACCCCAGATCCAGAAACTCTTCAATCCTGACTTATCAATACGCAAATCCCCGGCGCCAAACCCCAAACCTCAGATCTCCAAGCCCAACCTAAACTCTAGACGCCCTAAACTCTAGATCAAACCGCAGTCGGAGGTCCCGCTGCGAAGCACGCTTTCGGCGGAGGCGGCGGGCGGCGCTGGTACTCAGCTTTGCCTCACGGTGTGCCCCGCTTGAGCATCTGGACTTTTAGGTTGGCAAGAGCTATAGGTCTAGGGTTTAGTGCTTAGGGTTTATGTCTGGACTGTTAGGCTAGGTTGATATGAGCTATTGTCTAGCTAAACTCCTCAAAGGGTGTTATATAGGGAATATATGGGGTACGTAATGAGGGGAATATTATTAAGGGATACTAGGAGCCTAGACTATAGCTCATATCAGTCTTGGGATGCTTTCAATTGGGGGGCTAAAAGCTTGAGTAGCTGAAGCTTCTGGGATGATAAACAGGGGAGACACGAAGCAGAGCTTGCTTGTCTCTCAGGTTTAGGCTTCATTAAGCCCTAGTACTCCAACAAGCATAAAGTCCCCAGTTGCCAATTTCAAGGCCGCAGGAAAGCCCTTTACCTTCCTTGGTGCGGCAGAGGCCATCAATCCCACATATATACATATACATAGAT